CAACCCATCACGGGTGTACGTTTCCCAATCCTCATTGCTATGCCCTATTTTCATTCAACCATTCCCGGTCCCACCCTACCCGGCAAACATCACGGCACCAAATTGACCCAATTCCCATGCTAACATAATACATAGATGCTCCGTCGGGGCCTCGTGCTGCATCTTAGCTCCGCCTTTGGTGAGTTTGAGGCAAATCCTTGAATATATATTCCCGACACCTTCCCCGGTGCGAGCGGGGGAGGTCAGAAGTGTGATATAGAACTATATATATATACATACATCACCCTACTCCCTCCACGAACCCCTCAATCCAATCCAACCAATCCTACAGATAACCCAACTAATCCCACCTCTCATCCTAGGACTCGGAACAACCTTTGCCTACCTCTTCTGGTACGGTACGTTTATCAAACACCCTCTCCCGACCCCCTTTCCCCCAATGCCCATACATATCCCCTAACAAAGACCCAATATAGGCTACCACCTCCCCCGCGTCCGGGCCCGTGACCGCTTGTATGCCCGTATCGAATCCGAGCGCGCACAAGGTCTCCTTGACTAGACTTCTTACCGTCCATCCCATCCCATGGCATCCGATATACAAAATCAAGCATTACGGTATGAAAAGAGAATGCAGAATCTCCTCTCAATCTGATTAGGAAAGGCGGGGGTGGGAAGAGTGGGAGTGGGTTGGGTTGGGTTGGGTTGGGTTGGAAATGAGCAGGTGGATATTGGTGGCCGATTGCCAAAATATTTCAGTCTCATTGCGTTTTCATCTACATCAGTATCTGCATCTGCGTCTGCGTCCCGTTGTGGTGTGATGCGATACCTGTGTTCATCATCGTCTTGAATCGCATGCCTCCTTTTTATGTCTAGAGTGAAATGACCCCATTTCCCTGACAGGGGTATGGGAGCTGGTTATTTCATTCGCATCTCCCATCGTAATTTTTATGTAGGATACTAAAATATTATATTTATTTGACAATTTGAAGCTGTTATAACTACTGAATTTGATAGTTAGAGCCACTATCCCCATCTTCCTGTCTTGATAGCTTTCCTTTTTAAACGCTGACCTTCCTTCCAGCTTTGCTTACAGCTATTCTTCCCTGCACGACCTTCTTAAACTCATTGCCATCACTACAGCGTATAATATCCTTAATATGATGAGGTATCCGCTCTATCCATGCTTGAATCTTCTGTTGTGGCAGATCATTCCATTTTTTAGTCCCTGAATTCTAAACAGTTTTCCTATCTCGTGGAGCTCCTCAAACTGTAGTCCGGCGCTTCATCCAGGCCCAGGTAAACTCAATTGGATTGAGATCTGGTGAGTTACCTGGTCAAAAGAGACACTGAACCTCATGAAGATTGTATATTTTCATCTGATAGGGCTGTGCATGTGCTGATGCATTTTCTTCTTGGACAATTGTATTCAGTAAGAAGGTTGACATATTTGGCAAAAGAAATAATCAATTGTGAGATGATAATCATCTAAGAAAATAAATCAATTAGCTGAGAGTCTATAAATAAGAGATTTTACGATCTAGTTATACCAATCAATTCCTCCCTTTTTTCCATCAAGAAGGAGCTTATCATTTGCTCTAATATATCGCCTCGAGGCTTCTGGCTTGTCTGATTTCACAATCCCATTAGTTACGCACAGTAGTAACCTCCCATTCAGCCTTAAAACTTAACCTCACGCTTCATGTTCATTTGTTCGAGATCCATTTCTGCATTCATCTTATCCCAAGCAGTCTCTGGCTCCCCCATACATGACACGGGCCTTTTTCTATTGTATGAAAAGCACCCCCAGAACATAAACTCACAGGCTCCTTTCCATCGTCTTCGTACACATCATAGGCTTCTGGAATCTGGCGCCACACTCAAACAGCTCCACTTCTCTGACCAAGAACAACAGATGTCTCATCACTCCAGATCTCTCTTTTCCAGTCATCTAGACTCCAATGTTCGTGCTCAAGAGCAAATCTAAGTTGGTGTTTCTTAGAGGAATCAGTTAGCCCTGGTTTTTAAAGGCTTCGCTATCACAAATCCATGCTTCTTCAAAATCCGACAAACAGAGCTGTGGGAGGTGCCATCTCCAGAGGCTAAAATCTCAGAAGATTTCTCACGTCCACATTGATCCTTGATGGCAGATTTTATGACAGATTGTTCTTTCTCTGAGTATATTTCTTTAGGCCAGCCGCTGCATGGAGCATCTTCCACATACTCTTTCAAATTCGACGGTCAATATCAGAGTTGCAGCCTTGCTCTCTTGCTTTTCTTTGTTAGATCTGTCTGTGTGCGTTCAGTAATCCCTGTGGTTTCCTTGACTCTCTTATGTGTATAGCCCTCAGTGAGAAGAGTAAGAGCTTGAACACGAAACTCAATAGGATAAAAGCCCATAATGAATAGAAGATGCAGCGTATGGATAATGAGAAAAATTTTATCAAGCAGGCGGTGAGAGGGAGTATTTAACTGCAAGCTTCAAGATCTCAGATTCCTTTGGGTAACTAGTGAGATACACACTGATGCAGCCAAGGTTATGCAGATAGATATTCCATCTCAATTCATTCAATTTCGTCTGCTTGTGTGAATGTTAAACAGAAACTATTTAGTCAAGAGTTGCTTTTTTGATCATTCACTGTAATTTCCATCTGTGTCTGAAAGAGAAAGGAAATGAAGATCAAGATCAGAATATGTAACTTCATTCATGATTCTACACACTCACTATAAACACAGAGCTCAATTCTCTCTTCTCTATACAGCTTGAAGTTACACTCCTCAAAACTAAATTTTATTATGTCAGAGCTCACGCTCTTTCTTTACATTTTATCATGCAATTCAGTGAGCATGAATCAGTGAAGACTCTCATGAATTGATCATAGTTACAACCTCAGAAACCAGCAAATATACATAGTATATGTAATTGCGAAATACGCTCCCTCTTCCATCTCAAGCTCATTGATATATGCAATCACATCTACATACACGACCCTTGTCGACATCACAGTTGTCCCATAGAATCTGACTCCAATTGCAACACCCCAGCCTTGCTATGGGGACTGTGGGAAGACATGATACGGCATGACGCAACACGCTTCTTTTTAGTCCCTGGAGCCCTGAATGTGGCGGATGCGTGGTCGATGAGTGTATATAGTCTATATCGTAGCTGACATGGAGTGGGTGTTCGACGAGATAGAGGTGTGGAGATGTTATATTGTCTGGCCTCCAGGGTGCAGGTAAGTAGCAGATAGGTAGGTAGCTCCATGGTGCTGTGAGTGTTCCTTGCTTCATAGCGTAGATGATGGGTTGACGGGTTATGACCAATTCATGAATTTGGATGTTGCCGAGTGGGGAGGGGGCCGGGGGGAGGGTTTTATTCATTGAGCCAAGGAGTGTAAGGTGGAGAAGTAAGGGCGTGTTTGTCCACAGAGAAGACTTGGGCGGATTCGACGACTCAAAATCAGTATTGGAATGGAATGGGTATAGAGCTTGGAAAAGAGAGACAAACAATATGCAGATGAGCTGATATGTCGGACATTTGAAATCATGTAAAGCACAACTCATCCATCCATCCCCATTCTCAAACCCTCATTCATATATATCTCTCGTAGAGCTCCCCATAATCACCCTACCCACTACCCTAACCTCATAACCGCCGGCACAAACCCCCTAACCCCATTACTCAACCACACCACCTCCCCCTCCCTCAACTCCCCAACCTTCACAACCCCCTCTACACAAAACCCTGCCGCAAGTGCATATCTCCTCGACGTCCCCGCATTCCCCCCACTCGACAGCGGCGGCGTGACCCAGTAAAATCGATGACCGCCACCCTCATCGTCAACGCTATTCTCTCCACTCTCACACTCTGCTGCTGTTCTCCGCCTCCGCCGAAAATATACCGTCGTGATGCTCCCCTCCATCACCTCGCCAGCGGGGTTATATATCAACACCTCCGTCCGATCGGATGGGGACGTAATGCCCGCGCGCGCGCGGGAGGCGGTGTAGCTTTCGCGGTGTGTGGTTTTGTGGCGGGTGAAAAGGGAGGGGGTGGTGGGTTGTGTGTCCAGGCGGAGAATCCATGGGTCTATCTTTTGTATATTTCTGTTTGTAGCGGGGAATTGTGAATCTATCGTGTCTGATTCTGGTAGGAGGGTAGAGAAATCGAACCCGTCGCCCGGTAATATCAGTAAGGGCTGCGAGGGCGGTGTTGAGATGACGATTGGAACAGCTTCAACTGTGATTTCACCTGTGGCATCGAGGAGAATGCGCAATCGCCATGGCCGCGATGGGTCGCTGGCGATATATTTGTTGAAAGTTTGGGCGAGGTTGGATAGGCATGTATCGGGATTAGGAGGCTGCAGGGCCGCGGCGGCAGCGGGCCATTGGAAGTCTATGGCGGCGGAAAGCAAGCGGGCGTGGTGATAGCTGAGGAGATAGTAATGGGAGTCTCTGGGGTGTGGATATGAGGATGGTATGTTGGAGTCGTTGGGGAGGGATGGGTCGTAGCGGAGAGTTGAGGTTACTTGGAACGGGGGTTGGGATAGGGGTTGTTGTGGTTGCGATTGAGCCATTGTGAGCGGGAAGGAGGGGAATTAGGGGTAATGGAAAATTCAGTCGTTGCGATCTCTGGAAGAAGGCTTTCATCAGCTTTTTCTAAATAATTGGCTGTATAAGAGTTAATTTCGTTGTGTAGCCACAGAACATAAATTTGGTGCGTCGCTCAAGTGGTGTGGTGATGCAAAACGTCATGCTGACTCATAGGTCTCCAAGACTTGAACATCTCCCTTTAAATGAGATTATCCTCTACAGTCAAATACAATTTAAATTAACCGATAAAATAGCAATTAAGGATAAAACAACCCCCATGGTTCATAGCTACTGTCATAAGTTGAAAATTTCCGTCCCCACTGCAGCTCGAGCTCGAGATCCCATTATTGGTAGAACTTGGAGGGCAGATGGATATATTTTCTGGCCTTAAAGATGACAGTTAGGGAATTGCCTTTCCTCCTCCTTAGTGACTGACTACTAAAAAAATCTCATGTTTGAATATAAGTTGGAATTTTTTGTGTTTTCTTCATTTCATCCGTCAAGAGTCCTGAACCCCGAGTGTTTGTTTCAAGGTATCACGAATAAAACGAATGAGAGCCATGATGATGCTACCGCGGGAGACGTCGATGGCTGGCCTGTAGAAGATAGGTATGTTGATATATGGATCTATCCCCCTACTCCTCTTTTTTTATTTATTTATTTATTTATTTATTTATTTATTTATTTATTTATTTATTTTTATTTTTATTATTATTTATTTATTTATTTATTATTATTATTATTATTTTTCAGGCTCGGAGAGGTTTGGTGAAGTTTGGTTGCTAACTGACATTTCCCATGAATTATATCCACAGGTCTGACTGGCCCTGTTGACGTGGCGACCCTAATCCACCCTCCCGAATTTCGACATGGACTCTTTTGGGATTCGGGATAATCAAGCGACGGTGGAATGCCAGGGAGGGGAACCTCCAAATCCCGCCATGAAGAATATCGAATGCCAGTTGTCACAGCATCATTTACTAAACTAGAGTTCTGCAAGCACGAACACAATTTCATGTTTTCTTAGTTATTTAGACACAAGCCACAGCAAGAAACCATAAATAGAACCATGCATGACTTCCTCCTCCGTTCTCACCTACTTCATCCCATCATCCGCTTCACCGCAGCCTTTTACTATTCACGCAGACAGCAAACCCTGCCTACGTCACTCACTACATGACTCGTTCGACTAATTCACCATCTCAGTCCTATCAGCGATAACAAACCAAGCGACAGTCGAATCCAGCCGCGATCCGACCACGCTCATAGATAGATATTAGATCAGAGCTCACTGTCTTGAATATAGTTCTCCAGCAGAGCCACGTTTTCCTCCCAGCCTGACTATTCTTAGACTCCAACACGCTTAACTAACTAATCAGCGTCGACTCATTCCCGTTCATGATGATTGCCCCAGCACAACCCGCGCCAAAAAGGAACCAAAGCCTCCGCCGCTTCCGCATTCCGCATAATAATAATAACAATAATAATGCCGCTTGTTAGATATCGTTTCACAGCTCCGCTCCTCCCAAGCACCTGTGCACAGCCATAACCCCATCCAGCGCTAAGTGGTAAGCGAACAG